TGATCAGATAGGTGGAACGTAAGACGTCTGGATAAGCATATAGTTGTGTAACCGATGTAATTATTTATGAGTCTCTCTCTCACTCTCTCTCCATATATATAGAGAGAGAGGGAGAGAGAGAGAGGAGAGAGAGAGGAGAGAGAGAGAGGAGAGAGAGAGGGACAGTGGAGTAATGGATAGTGGCTTGGATTGAGGAATTGGAGAGATGAGTTCAAATTCCAGTTGAATCGATTACATTCACTCACGTGCTAATACCCTTGGGAATGGTATGAATCCTCTTATTCTCCCCCCAGCTGTGGGTTCTATAGCCTTGGATGCAAACTGGTCTACTGCAGAAAGAAATGGCAACCTACCACGGGAAAAAATCTGCTTTGTCAATTATGTATCAAAAGATACCTGATCATGTATCACGCATGGCACTTAATTGACTGAATCTAATTTGACACTCTTCACATTTGCTGATCCAAGTCCAAAAACTAAAGGTATTATAAAAATGAAAGGTATTATAAAAAAAAATACAGTGAACAGATCTTTATAGAAAAATAATTAAAAATTGTTTAGTGCTCACTCTGGTACAATTTTGCACAAAAAAGCTTTCATTTAAGTTATAGAAAGAATCAGTTCCTGTTATGATAGTGATTTTTGACATCAAGCCGTCTAGTGATACCATTACAATCTATGAATGTAATACTAAACAAGCATTTAATATGGAATTGAGGACACATGGCACAGTGGATAAAGGTGTTGGTTAGATCCAGTGACAAGACCCAAAGAGTTCAATACCCGGTTAAGGCAGTGGAGAACTTGGAAAGGGGAATTAACAGGAGATAACTGATAACTGACATCCATTAAAAACATGGCACGTGGAACTAGAACAGTCTACCCCAGTGAGCGAAATAAAGGGTTCATTTCGACATTCCAACGACCTGAAAAAGATGAGGACAATAGTCAGAATAAAGCAAATAGGAATCAAATTTATAGCCTGAAAAACTTTTTGTACGACAGTAGCTTCGGCTGTTCTAGTGAGCCCCAATAAAGATAAAATAAAATATAAAAATAATATAAACAAAATAAAAAAATTCAAATAAATAAGGCATTTGCGTTTTCCTTTAAAACCATTATCTCTTCCTTTCTCTGTCTCTCACCTTCTCTTTTTATACTTCTCTCTCTCTTTCTCACTCTCTCTTTTCTCTCTCTTTCTTTCTCTCTATCCTTCTCTCTCTCTTTTTTCTTACTCTTTCTCTTTCTCTCTGTACTTCTCTTTCTATATTTCTCTCTCAACCTACGAGAAGGCAACCCTCAAATAAACTGAAATAAACTTGAAAGTGTTGTAGTGAGTCCTGATAAAAATAAAATATATAAACAAAATAAAAGGAATTCAAATTAAAATAAGGCATTTGTGCTTTCCTTTAAAACACTTATCTCTTTCTTTCTCTCTAATCATCTCTCTATATACTTCCCTTTTACCTAATGAGAAGGCAACCCTCAAATAAAAAGAGGAAGAAGAAAAGACTGAACCTGGCCAAAAAACACTGGAAATTTGTGAGAGCAGTGCCTACTTTTTTATGACTACAAATCTACCAAAATAAGAGAGGCTCCACACATAACTTCCATTAAAAAAAAAAGGAAAAAAATGGAATGCCAGAAAATAAAATGTTTTTGTCCAAACAAAAAAATGAACACAAAAAGACTTTTGATGTTAGCCAAAACCAAGGTCTTGGAGTCTGGTCAAAAGAATATAAACTCAAACCTCTAAGCTAGAGGGGAGATAATGACAAAAGACAGTACTGCTAGAGAAACCAGCCATGCGGGACACATGGAATTGTTAAGAGGTCATTTGCTAATGACATTTTCTACCCTCATGGAAGCCAATAAAAACACAGTAGATTGACACTGACCTATTTCGAAGATGAGCATGGTTTGACTTCAAAACTACCACTACCGAGATGAAATGGAATTTCTCCAGACTGCTATCAATATCCACCTTAGAAATGAACACTTTATTACACTGTATATCAAAAGGCTCACTCAAAGCAAATAAATAAAAATATCTTATTTATTTTATACCCTTGAATCAGTTCGTTTTGTTCCAAAGTTTTCAGTAAATATAATAATAATCTGATACAACAAACTACAAACTAAACAACGTGAAAGATATTATAAAAAAAATACATCTTTTTACAAACATAATTAAAAATTGTCTAGTAAGCATCCAGGTTCAATTTTACAGAAATAAAAGCTTTTATTTAAGTTGGAGAAAGAATCAGTTCCAGTTATAAGAATGCAAGCCATGCAGTAATACTTCTGTTCTCATGAGAAAGAATTCAAAGAATTCCTACATCCTTTTTTGTTTAAACAATATACAGGGTGGGTGGAAAGTAACTAGGCATTAGAAATTGCTTATAGAATTACGACACAGTGAACAAAGTGTCCTGGCAGCAGAACTAGCAATTGATTCAATGTAATCATTTCATGCCAATGGAAAATGTGAAACTAAGAAGACATTTCAATATCTGTCTGATATCCCCCCACCCCAACCACCACAAATCACCCAGCCAGTGGCAGGGTGAGAGTCAAGTATGAAATCACCCCCAAAATTCTCTTCTTAGGCAGTGCCAACTTACGAAAATTCAAGACATTTGACCAACTAGAATGTTTCTCTACATAATGGTACATGTGGGCTGGTTTTTAATTAATTTATATAACTTTTTTCTTTTCCCTAGTGTTTAAGAAATAAAAGTAAGTAATAATATAAAAGAACGATTATAATAATATACTGTAATAAAAGTTATGCGATGGATAGAAGATCTGCTCTTACTATAGATCATATTGGATACGATAAGAGATCTCCAACAATGACTAATAATAAAATAGAACAAATATAACAATCTACTTTAATAAACGTTATGTGACAGATAGAAGATCCGTTCTTACTGTAGATCTTATTAAGTGCAATAAGAAATCACCAACAATAAGTATATTCTGGGTATGATGATAAACTACATCTGGCAGCATGGGATCAAGGGTTTTTGAAGAGTGTGGTACTAGCTCTTAATTGTTGTTGTTCCCAGATCCAACTTGACTGGGGTGGTAGTACCTGTTAGGGTCCCAGCTATGGGCAAACAATTAACTGCCAAACTGGAGTCAAAACACTATGAAAGTGTAAAAATAGGTTTTTATAGTAAAAATGCAAGCAATATATTTTTGAAAAAATAATTATTACTGGCAATATATCTTTGAAAAAATAATTATTACCAGCAACACATTTTTGAAAAACAAATATTATTAGCAATATATTTTTGAAAAAATAATTATTATCAGCAATACATTTTTGAAAAAAATAATTATCATCAGCAATACATTTTTGAAAAAAAATATTATCAGCAATATATTTTTGAAAAAAATAATTATCAGCAGTACATTTTTGAAAAAAGTAATTATTACCAGCAGCAATACAATTTTGAAAAAAAATTACCGGCAATATGTTTTCAAAAAAAAAAATGTTACCAGCAATGCATTTTTGAAAAAAAAGTTATTACCATCAATGAATATCTTGTCAGCATTAAATAACCCATTGAGGTTGATATGCCATGAAACAAATCAAACCAATCCAACAATACGTAATAATCAAATAGAAAAATTATAACAATATACTGTAATAAAAGCTATGTGATAGAAGAATTGTTCTTTGCATATGACTTTTTCGTTCTTTAAAGAAATCACTTAATAATTTAACATATCCAAACGGCCTGCATCACTACTTCTAGGGCATTATTAGTTGAACTTAATAAACTGTTGATTTCTGGAGTAACAGAAAATGTGTAAAATCAAACCCTGCAAAGAGGGTCAACAGCTGTATCTAAGGATGTGCTTATAGCATAGCAGTTGTCTGTGCAGAAAGTAATATTATCATGCTCATTTCAAATCCCAGCTGAGGCTATTGCATTCATTTTCACACAAATACCATTTGGAAGGCATGAAACCATCTTTTCCCACTTAGGATCTCTAGCTTTGGTTGGCAAGGAGAAGAGCAAGCAATTCCACTCAAAATTGTTGATAAGTTGTAGATAAAAAATCAATCAAATTTATATATATATGTCTGTGTGTGTGTGTGTGTGTGTGTGTGTGTGTGTGTGTGTGTGTGTGTGTCTGTGGAAAAGAATAGGCATATTTTTTAACTATGCCAAAAAGCATATATCAGTTAAACCATCAATTTAATTACATTAATTTGAAACTTTTTAGTGAAGCACAAATAAAGCATACGCACACACACACACACATATATATATATATATATATATATATATATATATATATATATATATATATATATATATATATATATGTATGTCTGTATGTATATATAGTATTGTAGCATATAAAACATGTTTCGATATTGAAAGAGAGGTTTAAAAACATTGGTATCATGCTATCAGAAATAAACAAATTCACGCTTTTTCCATCAAAATGTAAAAATAAAAGTAAGTCATTGAATTAGATAAAAAAGGATCGATCAATATGCATTCATTCAGTATAATGCATTCGATTTTATGCTTTTCTTTTATTTGTTAAGAGAGCCGAGACAATGTTCACTTAAGTGTACAGTAAAGTATTTCACTTTTGAGTGACGAGGACAAAAGAAGTTTTTGCAGAGGAACTCTCCATTAACAGAAGTTAGAAATTTTACATCACTTTTGAAATCCAACTGAAATTTTGTCAGCACTGAAAATAGAACAGCCAGTCTGCTTCTATCTATCTATCTATCTATCTATCTATCTATCTATCTATCTATCTTAATACCTATCAATGTTTCTGCCTGTTCCTTTTCATATCTGTCTGCAAATCTATCTATCTCATTCTGTTCACATGTCTCTTTTAATCTATCTATCTATCTATCTATCTATCTATCTATCTATCTATCTATCTGTTAATATCTATCAATCTTTCTGTCTGTTCCTTTTCATATCTGTCTGTATATTTATCTACCTCATTCTGATCACATGACCCTCTTATTCTATCTATCTGTTAATCAACCTTTCTGTCCCTTTTCATATCTATCTATCTATCTATCTATCTATCTATCTATCTGCCAATATCAATCAACCTTTCTGTCTTTTTTCTTTTCATATCTGTCTGTATATCTATCTATCTCATTCTGATCACATCTTTTATTCTATCTATCTATCTATCTATCTATCTATCTATCTATCTATCTATCTATCTATCTCATTCTGATCACGTCTCTCTTATTCTATCTATCTATCTATCTATCTATCTATCTATCTATCTATCTATCTATCTATCTATCTATCTGTCTGTTCCTTTTCATATCTATCTATCTATCTATCTATCTATCTATCTATCTATCTATCTATCTATCTATCTATCTAATTCTTTTCTCATCTATCTATCTATCTATCTATCTATCTAATGCATTTCATCTTCTAGAAGGACTACATCAAACTAATGTAATGTTTTTTGCTGATTGAATTACATATGTGTAGGAAGGGAAGGGGGAGGTGTAAAAATGTCAACTTCAGTTCTGATTATGCACCAATAGGAAATACCGAAGATATTGGAATGCTGAAATTTTTAATTTTTAAATTAAATTATTTTTTTAGACGTGTCTGGGTGTTTTAGCATTCCAACATCTTCAGCGTTCCCTATCACCGCATAATTATAATTGACGCTTGCATTTCTCCTCCTCCCCTTCTTACTCATATATAGTTCCATCAGCAAAAACATGACTTTTGACACATTATATAGAATTTTTCCACTTTGTTATTCATTTGCCTAACATTATTCTGATGTATAGTAATCTTTATATCATATTCTCTCATGTTATCTACTTATATAAATTGTCAGTCTTTTAAAACTTCTTTACGATATTTATATATTGCGATTCAAAAAGTATGACTTTGTTTTTTATACTGCATGATTAAAATATTTTAAAACTATACAATTCAGCTACAGAGAAGAGTCTGGTTAGCAAAATCCTAATTACTGTTTATAAACGCATTATCTTCAACTATTTTTCCCGATTGATCATTTTTGCTCACGAAACGTACCTTAACGTAAACAATGACAACATATTATGAAATGGATTAAGTCCGACATTTATTTAATATATTTTCTGTTTATATGTTATTTTTATACATACAATTTATTTAAGTAAATGCTGTTTTTTGTTTTTTTAATTAAACAGTATTAATTAGATCTACTGGCCTGAATGTTCGAAAAATTTCTTAGGAAATATGCGTTCTCCGACAGGAATCAAACCTGTATTCCTATACGGAAACCGTCATTTGGCCTGACGTACTGTGCTATTCAGCTACAGAGAAGCGTCTGTTTAGCAACGCTCAAGAATAGTACAGCCCGTCAGGCCAAGATGCACGATCTGATAGAATCTTTTAAGAACCATCTATCCAGTCGACCGATAGTTTCGGGAATCGGAATCCTGACACAACACATTTCAGGTTTCATTGGCCATAAACTGAAATCTTTGCTACCCACTATTCTAAGATATATTAAAATACTACCTGTGTTTTACAAATTCTACAAAAATAGATAGGTTACCAAACGATTCACTACTTGTGACCATGGATGTGATATCCCTATACTTCAAAATCCTACATTTCAGGAATATAACGGACATAAAATTCATGCCCACACATAACAATTCCAATAGCCACCATTTTCTTCAAGTCATTGCACACCGATGGGAACTAAAATGGCTCCCAGCTATGCGAACATATTCATAGATGCACTGGAACGAAATATATTGAATAGATACCATCTAGAACTTTTCCATTACCACAGATACATAGACGATATCTTGTATGGTCACATGGTGAAAACGCTCTCCATGGTGTTAAACAACACCGTAATAATTTCCACACCACCATCAAATTTATAATGGAATATTCCACCAGTTCCATTTCGTTTCTGAGTGGACAACCACATCTCCACAATACTATACACCAAACCTACAGAGGGTCATTAGTACTTACATTCTAACAGCTGCCCCTTCCAACCTAAAAAAAAAAATCAATCTGCGGGCAATGTTGACGCATAAAATATATCTGTTCACAAAATGGGGATTACAAAAAAAAAAAAAAAACAAAAAAAAAAAAAAAAAAAAAAAAAAAAAAACACAGAGGACAACTATTATTTTATCAATGGGAATAACCCTCGTAAAAGTATCAAAAAGGCTCCCAAATTGTTGTAGAGTAGTTTTCACAGTGGAGGCCTGTATTTCACTAAGTCTGTCCTAAAAGAGGTTCGACGTACAAAACGTTAGGAACTTGAAATAATAGTTAATGACGCAGCAATCTAGTTGTGGTGGATTGATACTTCAATGTTCGACATCGACTGACACACCAACTCCACCGAGCGATATTCAGTCCCCCCCCACGAGGGCACCATGTGACACAAGGCCGGTTTAACGTGGGATCTCCGAGCCCGTGGGCTCGGCCAAAAATATGCCCTTTTAAAACCCGTATAAACGGGTTCAGGGTCGGTTTATCTCCCCGAAAGAGACTCCGCCCTTCGGCGTAGCCTCGTTCGGGTTCCTCCCCGCCCGAAGGCAGAGAGTTCAACCGATCAGCCGGTCGTCCGACTTCAGACTGAACACAGACCGACCCACTGAGCTCCGGCGACTGCTACTACTACTTATAAGTGGGAGAGTCTATTAGCAATAGAATAGGTGTGTTCCGGTATAACACAAATTAAATAGAAATATTCTTTTAACCTATGAAACAAAACAGAATAATTCCAGAATTCTCATGGTTTTTGACTTCAATTACAATATTCACAAACTTTCCCATATCTGACTAAAAGATTTCCAGAGAAACAGGCACGGAATTCCGTCTATAGTTGAATAACCTTCTTTTTATCTGCCATATCCTTTCAGGACGTAGGCGATCATGGCCCTCCACTTCTCCCTATCTCTTGTAGCTCTCAACAGGTTTTGTGTTTCTGGCAACTCTGCCAGACTACGCTCCGCCATCCACCTGCCCATGACCGCCACGCATTTTTCATGCGCTGCTTTTCCCTGTCTCTTTTTCCCCCTCTATTCGTCCCGTGGGTATCAGATTCTCCAGGCCCTCCTTTCTCATCACGTGTCCCAGAATTTTCATCTGCCTCTTCGTTATGTTAAGCATAAGCTTCCTCCTTGTTTGCATCCTCTCCAAGACCTCATCGTTGCTCACATGCTCGGTCCATGATATCCTCAGCATCCTTCTGTAGAACCACACCTCCGCCGCCTCGAGTCTCTTCTTCATCTTTCAGGATACCGTCCAACATTCGCTGCCGTATAGGAAGACAGATGTCACTTAGCAGCTCAGTACTTTTTTTCTTTGCCACCATAGTAACCCTCCTGTCTCGCAATACTCTGCCTAGCTTCTGTAATGCATCCTTGGCCATCCCAATCCGTCTTCGGATCTCAGCGTCGCACCTACCGTCATCCGTCAAAACACTTCCCAGATACTTAAACTTCCGCACATGTTTGATTTTAGTGTCCCCAATCTGCAAATTGCATTTCGGATTCATCCTTTTACTGATGACCATGCATTCCGTCTTCTTGTAGTTTATACTTAATCCTTTCTTCTCGCTTTCCCTTGCTATCTTCTGTAGGAGGTTTTGTAGTTTCTTTTCCGTATCTCCTCTCAGTACCGTGTAATCTGCGTATCTTATGTTGGTAAGATTGTGGCCGCCAATGATGAATCCTGGTAGGATCTCCAGTTCCCGCAGAATTGCCTCGCTGTATAGGGTGAATAAGTCCGGTGAGACGACACATCCTTGCCTTACACCCCTTTCTATTTTTGTATATTCACTGAGATTATTCTCGATGTGAATACATGCCGTCTGCTGCCAGTATAGGTTCTAGATTATTCTGATATCTTTCTGATATCTTTTCTTTTGGCTTCGTCAGGTTAGAATGAAAGAAAGGCAACACTGTATGTGATTACAAATGCCATGGATCTCTGAGGATAAGTGGGTACCATAAATCAAATTAAATTAGATTGCCTTATCACTTCCAATGTCCAGACTCAAGAGAGTCTCTGTTCGCCTGTTTGTTTGTTTCACATGACATGACAGTTCATGATAGATAGATAGATAAATAGATAGACAGTAACAGACTGAGATCTGATATATATATATATATATATATATATATATCTATATATATATATATATATATAGATAGATAGATAAACAAAGAAAGGGAGAGATGAACTGCCTGGTACAGAGTAAGAAAGGAAGAAAGGTATATAAAATGGAACAGAGAAAAAGGAAGGACAAAAGATGATTGAATAAAGATTAAAAAAAAAAGAAAAAGAGAAAATAAAGAAAGAAAAAGACGAAAGAAAAACTGAAGATGAAAAAAAAGGAAGAAAGAAAGTAGTTTGATTGATTAATTTATTTTTACAACTTATCAACCCTTTTGCAGGTCATTTAAGCCAGAAAATATTTTTACACTGTAAGAATGTTTTTGAGATAATGATGGTTTATTGATACAAGTCCTACTGATTAACCCATAGTTGAGGGGAGAAGAGGTGTATTCATACGTTTCCTAATGATATTTTCACGTAAGCGAATATAACGAACCCAACGCGAATTGGAACTCGGCTCTCCAATTAACAATTCCGGGCCATTATCAATCACACTACCCGCACATCCAAACTTACAGCACCTGCTACTCCCAAGCGATCACCCATCTAGGTACTGACCATGTTCGACGTTGCTTAACTTCGGTGATCATATGGGAACTGGCGTTTCAACGGTATGTTGCCGTTAGCCAGAATTAAGTAGAAAGAAAGAAAAAAAGAAAGAAAGAAAAAAAAACGACAAGAAAGACGATAAAAGAAAATATAGATGTTGATGTTTTCTTTATGGTTTATCAACCCTTTGCAGAAATGCCAGAAAATATATTTAGATTGTAAGATTTTTTGCAGATAATTATAATTCGTTACTAATTAACCCATAGCTGGAGGTAGAAGTGGTGGATTCATACCTTTTCCAAGGATATTTGTGCGTAAGTAAATATAATGAACCCGACTGGAATTGAATCTCGACTCACCGATTTCCAATTCTGAGCCGTTATCTATTGCATCACATTGAAGCTTATAGTACATGGTATTTACCCATCCTGGTACTGACCATGTCCGACGTTGCTTAACTTCAGTAATCGTACGAGAACCGGTTTAAGAAAACTGAATGATTAATATAATAAGGAGAAAAACAGAATAAAAGAAAAAGAGAAAAGAAAAAAAATAACCAGACTTAACTTGCTGATAGTCCAAGAAACGTCAAATTATTATTAAGTTTACATGCTGAAACATTAAAACTCAGTGTCATAAGACAAAGGTTAATTTAGTTGAGAGATCTCGTTTTACGAACCGAAAACCGGACAACTTCAAATGACCTTTCCAAGTGTCATGTACGATGCACTGAAAACATCTTTTCGTGATTAAGCTGGAAACAGACAAAAAAAAAAAAAAAAAAAAAAATGGCGATTGATTGTCCAGCCTCTCTGGAGATAGCAATGCCGAGCTTCCATGAATTTGTTACGGTTTCTCTCGGCTCGACATGCAAAACTATCGCGATGAACCATTAATAAAAGATGAGGACAATGGCAAACAATTAGAAAATGAAAATGAAATCATTAATAAATGTTAATTGTGTCTACATTGACAAATTACAATCAGGTCTCAAAAGTGTCCGATTCTTAAAAAGAGGTTTTGTTTTTCCTTTCATAAATTCTTAAACGCAAGATGAACCACACCCACGCGTGTAAAAACACACGTTAGTTAGTGGGCTGATATTTTTAACGGCATATCAACTTCTCATGGGTCATTTAATACCGAAATTTAATTTTCTTGAGTGCTTTGACGGAATAAAATATGTTATTCTGCTTTCACAATTGAATACATGGTAGATGATACTCAGTTTTTGTGCATATACAAGCTTGTGTGAGGAATTACTAGAGGCGGTGATATGTGTATTTTATGCTGTTTTTTAAGTTGTTTTGGAATACAGTTTGATTTAAGAAATTGTAGGATATTATATGGATTAATGTAGGATATTATATGGATTAATGCAGGATAATATATGGATTAATGTAGGATATTATATGGATTAATGTCATGAAAGATGACGTCAGTTGTGTTGTTGATTTTGTTTAGCGGCATATCAAGCACTAAGCGTTATTTAAATAATTTGAACGCAATTGTATGCATTCAACTACAGATAAAAAAGTATTACTGCTCATGTATTTTCGGCCGTTTTTATATATAATGTCTTGCTGGTATTTTTACTATTAAAATGTATATTTATACATTCATAGTGTTTTTGTTTGAGGGGCTCACTATTTGCACATAGCTTGGATCCTAACAGATGCTACCACCCCAGGACAGAATGGACGGGAAACAGCAATAAAGAGGTCGATCCAGGCTCCTTAAAACCTTCAATCTCCCGATCAGAGGCGTTGCGATCCAGGCTCCATAAAACCTTCAATCTCCCGATCAGAGGCCTTGCGATCCAGGCTCCTTAAAACCTTCAAACTCCCGATCAGCGGCCTTGCGATCCAGGCTCCTCAAAACCTTCAATCTCCCGATCAGGCCTTGCGATCACGGCTCCTTAAAACCTCCAATCTCCCGTTCAGAGGCTTTGCGATTCTGGCTTCTGAAAACCTCCAATCTCCCGATCAGAGACCTAACGATCCTGACTCCTGAAAACCTCCAATCTCCCGATCAGATGCCTTGCGATCCAGACTCCTCAAAATTTCCAATCTCCAGATCAGAGGCCTTGCGATTCTGGCTTCTGAAAACCTCCAGTCTCCCGATCAGAGACCTAGCGTTCCTGGCTCCTGAAAACGTCCAATCCCCCGATAAGATGCCTTGCGATCCAGACTCCTCAAATCCTCCAATATCCCGATCAGAGGCCTTGCGATTCTGGCTTCTGAAAACCCCAATCTCCCGATCAGAGAACTTACGATCCAGGCTCCTAAAAACCTCCAATCTCCCGATGAGATGCCTTGCGATCCAGACTCCTCAAAACCTCCAATCTCCCGATCAGAGGCCTTACGATTCTGGCTTCTGGAAACAACCAATCTCCCGATCAGAGAACTTACGATCCAGGCTCCTAAAATCCTCCAATCTCCCGATCAGATTCCTTGCGATCAAGACTCCTCAAAACCTCCAATCTCCCGATCAGAGGCCTTACGATTCTGGCTTCTGAAAACCCCCAATCTCCCGATCAGAGAACTTACGATTCAGGCTCCTAAAATCCTCCAATCTCCCGATCAGATGCCATGCGATCCAGACTCCTCAAAACCTCCAATCTCCCGATCAGAGGCCTTGCGATTCTGGCTTCTAAAAACCATCAATCTCCCGATCATAGACTTTGCGATCCAGGCTCTTTAAAACCTTCAAACTCCCGATCAGAGGCCTTGCGATCCAGGCTCTTCAAAACCTTCAATCTCCCGATCAGGCCTTGCGATGCAGGCTACTGAAAACCTCCAATCTCCCGTTCAGACGCCTTGCGATACAGGCTCTTATAAAACCTCCAATCTCCCGATCAGAGGCCTTGCGATCCAGGCTTCTCAAAACCTCCAATCTCCCGATCAGGGGCCTTGCGATCAGGCTCCTCAAAACCTCCAATCGCCCGATCAGAGGCTTTGCGATTCTGGCTTCTGAAAACCCCCAATCTCCCGATCAGAGAACTTACGATCCAGGCTCCTAAAAACCTCCAATCTCCCGATCAGATGCCATGCGATCCAGACTCCTCAAAACCTCCAATCTCCCTATCAGAGGCCTTGCGATCCAGGCTCCTCAAAACCCCCAATCTCCCGATCAGAGAACTTACGATCCAGGCTCGTAAAATCCTCCAATCTCCCGATCTGATGACTTGCGATCCAGACTCCTCAAAACCTCCAATCGCCCGATCAGATGCCTTACGATTCTGGCTTCTGAAAACCCCATCTCCTGATCAGAGAACTTACGATCCAGGCTCCTAAAACCTCAATCTCCCGATCAGATGCCTTGCCATCAAGACTCCTCAAACCTCCAATCTCCCGATCAGAGGCCTTACGATTCTGGCTTCTGAAAACCCCCATCTCCCGATCAGAGAACTTACGATCCAGGCTCCTAAAAACCTCCAATCTCCCGATCAGATGCCTTGCGATCAAGACTCCTCAAAACCTCCAATCTCCCGATCAGAGGCCTTACGATTCTGGCTTCTGAAAACCCCCAATCTCCCGATCAGAGAACTTACGATCCAGGCTCTTAAAAACCTCCAATCTCCCGATCAGATGCCATGCGATCCAGACTCCTCAAAACCTCCAAACTCCCGATCAGAGAACTTACGATCCAGGCTCCTAAAACCCTCCAGTCTCCCGATCAGAGGCCTTGCGATCCAGACTCCTCAAAACCTCCAATCTCCCGATCAGAGGCCTTGCGATCCAGGCTCCTCAAAACCTCCAATCTCCCGATCAGAGACCTAGCGACCCTGGCTCCTGAAAACCTTTAATCTCCCGATCAGATGCCTTGCGATTCTGGCTTCTGAAAACCTCCAGTCTCCCGATCAGAGACCTAGCGTTCCTGGCTCTGAAAACCTCCAATCTCCTGATCAGATGCCTTGCGATTCTGGCTTCTAAAAACCCTCAATCTCCCGATCAGAGAACTTACGATCCAGGCTCCTAAAATCCTCCAATCTCCCGATCAGATTCCTTGCGATCCAGACTCCTCAAAACCTCCAATCTCCCGATCAGAGGCCTTGCGATTCTGGCTTCTGAAAACCTCCAATCTCCCGATCAGAGACCTAGCGATCCTGGCTCCTAAAAACCCCCAATCTCCCGATCAGAGGCCTTGCGATTTTGTCTTCTGAAAACCTCCAATCTCCCGATCAGACGCCTTGCTTCAGAATGTAGTTTATCGTCATACCCAGGACTTTAAAAAGACTCACACGCATACGGATACATAATCTTCTTTCATATACGTATCCCTTCTGAAAGTACGTTTGTTGTGGTTAAAAAGGTTGTGGGTCTTGTGTATATTTTTAGGTGATGCTGCGTGTTCAATATATAAACAAAGAAGATAAAAGATGCGTACAAAAAAAAAAACGTGTTTCCGTTACGGAAGTTTATTTCATTTACGCTGACTGTATTAAAATAAGTGAAACGTCTCTTAAGTATGTCCGCTTTCCTTTCTGGTTCAGAAATTATTAACAGGAAGTAAGGATACGAACGTGTAAAGATGGTCGAGCTCAAGTCAGCCCCGCACTGAGTTGGGAAGGCTAAAACTCTACTTCATTAGTAGGACTGCTAAAACGCACCCTAACGATCTCGTTGGAAAGAGTAAATAGTTAAGTCGTCAGTGGACCGGGGAAATTAACATTTCTTAATGGGTACGTGGTTCACATCTTGAAGCCAAGAAGAGAAATAGAAAGATGCTGTCCTTTCCGGAAGTGGAGTAATAAAATAGCACATGTGACTAGAAATCATTTCCGGTTTCTTTATAACTTGCATCATGGGAAAATGAATTTATATATTTCTTTTTTTATTCGTTATTATTATTTTATTCATTGGTTTTATTTCATTTTCCCACAGGCTTTCTACAACTTTCTGTCACTTGTTAAACAACGTTTGAAACTTTACCCTCTACACACACTCTTTATCCCTCCGCTCTGCCATCCATTCATACAAACTCGTTAGGTAGGTTTCTCTCTGTCCTGTCTGCCTGCTTTCAGTATGTCTTGTGAGTGTCAAATTCTCCAAAGCCTTTATGTATTTAAGAACGTTATAAAATATAAACGTCCATTTTGTTTCCATTCTCCTTAAGACTGCTTTGTTGCTTACGCACTCCGTCTGTTGTAAAACAACCACTGTCTCAGATCAGTGGCGAAAAATGGCGTTGAGTGAGTGAAGTTCTTGGGTCTCGACGAAGATCATATTTTTTTTAACCTTGTGGAGAGAATCACAAAGGACTGTACCAAATAACAGAAACCACGTCATTTGCGGACTTATAACGGTCTTAACGACAGAGACTGATAGATAGATAGATAGATAGATAGATAGATAGATAGATAGATAGATAGATAGATTTGAACAAACTGAGATAGATATATCGATCGATAGAAACAATGACAGACCAAGAAATGAATAGACTGAGTAAATAGAGATAGATACATACATACATACATAGATAGATAGATAAGAAAAGGAAAATATAGATAGATAGATAGATAGATAGATAGATAGATAGATATGAAAAGGAAAATATAGGTAGATAGATATGAAAAGGAATAGATAGATAGATAGATAGATAGATAGATAGATAGATAGATAGATAGATAGATAGATTGATAGATAGATTTGAACAGACTGAGATATATATCGATCGATAGAAGCAATGACAGACCAAGATATGAATAGACTGAGTAAATAGAGATAGATAGATAGATACATACATACATACATAGATAAGAAAAGGAAAATATAGATAGATAGATAGATATGAAAAGGAAAGACAGATATATCGATCGATAGAAGCAATGACAGACAAAGATGTGAATAGACTGAGTAAATAAAAATAGATAGATAGATATGAAAAGAAAAATATAGGTAGATAGATATGAAAAGGAAGAGATAGATAGATAGATAGATAGATAGATAGATAGATAGAATAGTTATGAAAAGGAAGAGACAGACAAGCATATAGCTTGCTAGATAGATAGATAGATAATGAACATTTTGAGATAGATAGATCGATAGATATATAGATAGATAGATGAGAATAGAATGAGATAGACATTTAGACATAAACAGACTGTGAGATAGCGAGCTAGCTAGCTTGATAGATATGGACATGCTAAAATAGACAGCCAACAAGCGCTATAATCAAAGTCGTGAAGTTAGATCCGATAAACAGCCGCCCATTTCAGAGATCGAAAGAGACTCTACAGTTTTCAATGACCTGAATTGATCTTCAACATCTTCGATTTTCTTCAACATCTGCTCCTCGCTGTTGCTTCAATATTATCTGAAATGATTGACGCACTTATTTCATGACTTTTCCACTGCAACTCTTCAAAGTAATTTTTGAATTTTAGAAGCGGCATCTAAACGACGATGGTAATTGTTGCGATTAAATTCTTTAAGGTTTGGGAAGATTAATGCTCGTCTCGAGCATCTCAAAAAAATAGCAGTTATAAAGCAACAAAAAAAGAAAAGGAAAAAAAAGATGAGAAATTCTTTTACTTTGAAGTTTAGAAAAGTTTGCAGTTTTATACTGACATCTAAAAATCTGATTCTCCCCATTCGATCAAATATGTAATTTTAAAATTGCTATTTACGCATCTTGGTCGAATTTAACACAAGGCCAGACATTAATTGATTAGAATGTTCCCCTCATAAAAAATAGGGAAATATATGCTTGGAAATAATTTTTGTAAATAATTGGCGTTCCGTCGACCTTCCTTAGGCTGGCACTTGTTAGAATTGAAATAATTTAAATCCAACTTTGGAACTATTTAAATAGATAGATAGATAGATAGATAGATAGATAGATAGATATGAAAAGGAAAATATAGGTAGATAGATATGAAAAGGAAGAGATAGATAGATAGATAGATAATGAGACACTCGTAAAAAAAAGAAATAGGGAAAAATATGTTTGGAAATAATTTTTGTAAATAATTAGCGTTCCTTCGACTTTCCTTGGGTTGGCACTTGTTAGAATTGAAATGATTTAAATCCAACTTTGGAACTACTTAAATAGAGTGGTCCACTCGTAAAAATAGCGAAAATTCAGGAAATAATTTTAATAGATTAGCGTTTCTTTCGACCTTCCTTAGGCTGTGACACTCCAGTTAGAAATTTTTTTTTTTTTAAGCATTTCACCCCAAGCAAGGCGGGAAGCCACTAGGACGCAAGGGGTTACAGAAAATTTAGAGCAAGATCAGATAGGAGTGATAGAAGAAAGGATGAGGAGGAGGGTAGTGGAAAGATCAAGGCAACTGGAGATGTCGATTGACATTACATTTGAATAGCTGGAGATTATAGCTCTCAGAAACTGGAATAGGGAAGGAGTTCCACAGGCGAGAGGTGCGAGACATGAAGCTATTGGAGTAGAAGAGACAGCTACACTTAGGAGTTTCGACAGTGAAAGGGTGAGAGCGGGATGCCAGCCTCGAAGGGCGCTTGAACACATGAAGTCTGGGAACCAGCGAATGCACCTCCTCGGAGCAATTTCCATGAAAGTATTTGCAGAACAGACAGAGGGAGGCGACGGCGCGTCTGTGAGAAAGTGACTGTAAACGAGATGCCAGAGCAGGGCCAACTACATTGCATATCCGCCTCTGGTGCCTATCAAGAACCCCGAGGCAAACAGAATGGCGTATTATCTAATGAGACACTTGTTTCTGCTTATCGTTCATCAGGTGAAATATTTGTCGATGACAGGAGCAAAACATTATACAGCTGGTCATCACCCAACCTTATTCTTAAACGACATTTAGCATATTTCATTTTCGAAAAAGGTTGTTCACAAGCATATGCACTTCTAAATAACACCATCATTTTCATATTATTTAATAGGCTTTTTATATTTTCCGCTGGGCAAAACATATTTCTTGCAGAAATCAGCAGTGGATTTGGAATAAAATTTTGATTTTAAAAATTTATTGCATTATTAAGTCAATTAATTCCAACTGATATTTTTCTGCCACTAACTCCACGAATAAATTAGATAATTAGTGTCCAGGTGGCAAGTTTGTGAGCCGGACAAAAATCTTTCGCCAGGTGGATGTGACCCACGGACCGGGGGGTTACTGACCCCTGCTTTAGACCATCCTTGGGTTGTACTGAAAATTATTGATTTTTTTCTTGATTTATAAAAAAAAGGTGGCCTACTGTTTATAATATCGATACAGTGTCAAATCAGCTACAGAATTTTATAGGAATTTTAGGAATAAATGGATTTTATTTATAATCTGACATTAATTCTTATTACTTGAAACGTTATATTTAGTGAATAGCGCCAGACGTCAGGTTTTCTTTATTAAGACTCTCGATTGCACGGACCGGTAGACATAAATTTAAAAACAGGAATATCAAATCAACCACATGTATCTACTAAAAATAAAGTCTAAAGTAATAACATCCATCCATCCATCTATCTATCTATCTATCTATCTATCTATCTCTGTATATATATATATATATATATATATATATATATATATATATATAGATAGATGAATGAATAGATAGATACTGATAAAGAAAGGGAGAGAATTAATGGATGTTTTTATTAATTCGACATATTGTCATTACTTTAAACTATATTTCAGTGGATGCCCATATTTTAGTAAACGTTCCCTTTATTTTAAAAAGTATTTTATTTTGTCTACCGACCTGAAGATTCAAAAAAACTTATTAAAGAAAAAAGATGGCGGAGAGGGGAGGTTTTTAAAAAAATAAGATTTCTTGAATATTCAGTTCCGTAGGCGAAATAAAATACTGTTTAAAATAAACGAAGCGTCTACTAAAATATGGGTAAGCACTTAATAAACTTTAAAGCAACATATATATATATATATATAAAAGACATTTTTATGTTTATACATTCTTTTTATAGATACAATATATCGACAGGATTCGAACCTGTATCCTATACGGATAGTCAATGTTTGAGTAAATGTTTAATACTGTTTATTATAAAACAGAGCATTTACTTAAATATTTGTATATATAAAAAGAATGTATAAACATAAAAGATGTCTTAAAATAATTGTCGGACTTTGTCCATTTCATAATGTGTGACGTCATATATATATATATATATATATATATATATATATATATATATATAGAAGAGAGAAGGGGAATAGCTATATAAAATATATTTCAATTACTTATCATATCATATCATATATATATATATATATATATATATATATTACAGAATAAAAATACAAAGATTCATAGACATAGGCCGGGCTTTAAAATTAGATCAAAGAAAAGGTCAGCAAAAATATTAACACTGGTCTGGTTTACACTAGAGTGTAAAAGGAGTTATGACTGGTTTTAAAATTAGAATGGAAAAAGATAGATAGATCTTGTGTACACTAGAGACTAAAAGGAGATATGACTAGTGTAGTGGATTGGTAAATAGGATGATGCCTATTTGTATATGATAAGTTGAAGAGAAATTTAGGTGTATAGTAAATAAAGAGGCAGGCGGAAGTTGACTACTGGTCACGTGTTGTAGAACAACGCAACACAACAATATAGCATCGCCGATAGGATGTTTAATTTGCTTGGGTGTACAAGAATTTGTCAAGACATGGATCCCGTATTTGGCAGCTCAGGCTAGGACTGAAAAATTGAAAGACAACTTGGCAAGAAGGGGAGAAATAAAAAAAAAACTGACCTCTTTCTAGTTTCAGAAGGTTGTGAAGCGATAGTGAAAATTTCTGTTATGGCATATTCCAAACAATTGCAGAATTTCACTTTTGTCGGAATTTCAGAAATTATAAAAAGAAGTTTATGACCTAAAAAAAACTTATAGCGGAAAGAACCAAATTTTCTGCCCATTGAACAGAAACGACGAATCAATTATGCAATATCTTAACAGATTAAGAGAAGCGAGCAGATTCTGCGAATTTGAGAAACTTGGAACTCAAGATTTGACTATCGAGGATGAATTAATTCAATTACAATTGATTCAATGTATGGCCGATAGATCTCATAAATATAAGATAATGGAACTATTACAATCGAATAATTTGTCTCTAACTGCATGTGTGGAAGTTATACAACTGTTGGAATTGATAAAAACATAAAATTCTTTTGAGGACAATGTAGAAACGTACTAAAAAGGGAAATCTAAAAAATGCAAATACTGTAAATATAAGCATGAAATTGACAGAAAAAAAGTGACCCGCTTTTGGAAAAATTTGCTATAACCGCCGAAGAAAAAAATAACTTTCAGTCTCTGTCTGTATTTCTGAGATGAGGTATTATGTACACTATTTACATTATTCGGACTATTGTCCTCATCTTTGTCGCCATATTTATTACAACGTTTCGGCCTTTCAGTATCTGTCTATATTTCTGAGATGAGGTATTATGTACATTATTTACATTATTCGGACTATTGTACTCATCTTTGTCACCATATTTATTACAACGTTTCGGCCTTTCAGTATCTGTCTATATTTCTGAGATGAGGTATTATGTACACTATTTACATTATAGCAACAAATTGCAATATGAGCACTGGTAAAAGGTTTATAATATCCAGAAATTCATACACAGATGTCCTCAAGGACACATGGCGCAGTGTATAAAGGCGTTGCTTAGATCAAAATCGAAGAGTGTGAGTTCAATACCCGGTTAAGGCAGTGGAGAACTTGGAGAGGGGAATTAACAGGAGATAAATGATAAGTGACATCCATTAAACATGGCACGTGGAACTAGAACAGTCTATCCCAGTGAGCGAAATAAAGGGTTCAGTTCGACATTCCAACCACCTGAAGAAGGCCGGAGCGTACAACGGCCGAAACGTTGAAATAAATTTGGCGACAAAGATGAGGATATGAGAAATAATGTAATTTTCCAGTCTGTATGCAAAGTTAAAAAGAAAATGGTCAGTATTGGAAATACAAAAACCTAAAGAAAAGAATTCTTTTGAAAAAAAAAATAAATTTAATGGAATGACTTTTCCAATGCAAATGGATACGGGGAGTGAAGTTACTGTAATCCCAAGAGATTTCTAGGAACGAATGGGTAAACCGAAATTGAGAAAAAAAGTCATCTGAGACAATACAATGCATCTCTTATAAAAACTTTGGGATATTTCAATGGAACATTTGAAACCTGCGACCGATTTGAATTTATTCCCATTACAGTAGTGGAATGTAAAAAGATTTCATGGAGTACTAGGTATAGATAGGCGAAAGGTGGATACGTCAAAATTAATCAGTAGCGTAAAATCAGCAAAAGTAAAAACTTGTGTGTTAAAGGGGTATAAAGCGATCATACAATTAAATAAATGTAGTACCCTCTCCTATTTTGAATCTCGTAAATTGCCTATTCTTCTTCTAGCTTTAGTAGTTGCTAGGTAAAGAAAATGGTAGAGGAGGGAATTTTGGAGCATGTTCCTCCAAGTGGCAATAAATGGGCCTCTCCGATTGTAGTTTTGCGAAAAAGAGACGGAGATTTGAGAATATTGTGAGGATTTTAAAATAGACTTAAATTATAAAATATGTTCGGATCCTTTTTACTATTCTCAATATCGAAACAGCATGAAATGTTTTGCAAAAATTGATTTAAAATCTGCCTACAATCAAATATAGATTGATAATAAACTCAAGGAAATTACCATTATAAACGCCTCCATCTTAATAATCCTATGATTAATATAGACGAGAATGCCTTTTGGAGTGAAAACGGCATGTGTCATTTTTTCAAAGAGTAATGGAAAATGTTTTAACTGGCAAAATCAGTAAGATCCTATTTGCTTTAGTGCTACCACGAATTACGACAAAAATAGAACATGTCTTAAACAAGTTAAAAAAATCAGGGATGACAATAAACATAGACAAGTGCAAATCTGATCACAATACAATATCATATTTAGGGTACCAAATTTCAAAAGATGGTATTGCAACAGATAAATTAAATTGTTAAATTAGGAACACGTATGTTTATTCCTGCTAGAAGAAGGCCCACTACAAGAACATGGCTGACTCAGAGATTGAATCCACTATAAAGAAGTGTAAAGAAAACTAACAAGACTGATATACAGATACAAACAAGTATATGTATTAAACAATAAAATTTACAATGGACAAAGACATTAACATTTGTTTTTGTGTGTGAACGTAAAGAGTTGGTATTTTAGTGAATGTCCGTACGTACGTGTATGCGTGTGTTTCATGGCGTTTTCCCACAAGTGGGCAAAACGCAGATCTCTGCGAGAGATCACATTTTTAAATGTGTCCGCTGAAATGCAAAGTAAAAAAGAGAACGAGGCAAGAAATCGCCCAGTATTTATAGTGTAGGGAGAGCGACCCCTAGTAAACAATTTGGACAATTAAGGAGGAGTTAACTCCGACATATCTATACCTACTAATAAAAAAAGAATTAGAATCCTTTTTATGATTGGTTAATTTTTATAATAGATACCTACCAAAATACAGCGACTTAATAGAACCATTGGCTGAACTACTGAAGGAGAATAGTGAGTTCAAATGGACTCAAATGCAAAGCTTAGCGTTCAAGGATTTAAAAGATTAAAAGAGATACTCGCTGTTGAGGGGTCCACCCCTTTTTATACAAATGAACTCACCCAGTATATACATATACTACTGCAAGAGCGAGACGAGAGTAAGACAAGAGCAAGACTGAGGAGTCGAGTCGAGTCCAGAGTGACCGAGTAAAAGGTTGTAGGTAACCGGAAGAGTGAGGGTGAGGGTGAGGTAACAGCGTTGTAGGAGTCACTGTGAGCGAGCACGTAGACTCAGTAAGAAGTCATACAGCGAAACTTCAAAACCAAAGACTGTATATATATTTTGCTACTAACCCGTATTCCTGGAACTACTAACCTGCTTTACCAGTTTGTATTATTACGTTAATACATTATTTTTATATATTCGTTCCTGGCGGTTTTTATTTATTAGTACCGGATTTCAACCCGGAATCCACAACACTCGCAGAAAAACCTATTGAAAAATCATTGATCTCAGAATGGAAGTTACGTTAACTATGGATGTGAGTGAGAGAGTTGTGTCAGCAATTTTATCGCAAGATGGCCATCGAATAATGCACCTTTCGGGAGGATTGACGGCAGCAGAAATAAATTTTTCAAATATTGAAAAAGATGCATTGACCATTGTTTGAAGGCAAAGTTAGACAAATCTTATTAGGTAAGAAGTTTCTATTAAAGTTGGACCATAAACATGTGTATTTTTACCTTAGAAAGGAACTACAAAAAGTTACCTCTTCCAGGATTCTATGATGAGTCATAAAATTAATGGTTTATGATTCTGATGTGCGGATAGATAGATAGATAGATAGATAGATAGATAGATAGATAGATAGATAGAATGACTAACATAGATTTGAATAGACTAAGATTTATACGCAAATAGCTATAAACAGACCGAGATAGATAAATAGATAGATATGAATTCACTTAGATAGATATGAATAGAAAGATTGATAACGAACATACCGAGATAGATAGATAAATAGATAATGATCATATTGAGATAGATAGATAGATAGATAGATAGATAGATAGATAGATAGATAGATAGATAGAATGACTAACATAGATTTGAATAGACTAAGATTTATACGTAAATAGCTATAAACAGACCGAGATGGATAAATAGATAGATATGAATTCACTTAGATTTGAATAGAAAGATTGATAATGAACATATCGAGATAGATAAATAGATAATGAGCATATTGAGATAGATAGATAGATAGATAGATAGATAGATAGATAGATAGATAATGAACATTTTGAGATAGATAGCTGGGAAGCGTTTTGACAGAGGACGGTAAGTGTGACACTGAGATCCGTAGACATATTGGAATGGCCAAGTAGGCATTCCAAAAGCTAGGCAGAGTATTGCAAGACAGGAGGATTTCTTTGGTAACAAAGAAAAGAGTACTGAGCCTTTACATGACATCTGTCCTTCTTTACGGCAGCGAATGTTGGACGATCTCCTCAAAGATGAAGAAGAGACTCAAGGCGACGAAGATAGGGTTCTACAGAAGGATGCTGAGGATATCATGGACCGAGCGTGTGAACAACGATGAGATCTTGGAAAGGAGACAAACAAGGAGGCTTATACTTAAACATTAGGAAGAGGCAGCTGAAGTTCCTGGGAAACATAATGAGGAAGGAGGGCCTGGAGAATCTGATAATCAATAGTCGAATAGAGGTAAAGAGAGACAAGGGAAAGCAACGCGTGACATTCCTGGCGGGCTTGAGCAGGTGGATGACAGAACGTGGTCTGGGGGAGGATAGCAGAAGGAGGGAACTTGTTGATTGTTGCAAGAGACAGAGGGAGGTGGAGAGCCATGATCGCTTACGCCTACGTCGTGAAAGGACATAATTACATAAAAAGGACATAGATAGATAAAAGAGGATAGATAGATAGATAGATGTCCGCACGGCTTATTGCATAGGCCTGAAAATAAGTCATTCTGTACAGAACCTGGTCTATTTTATAAATTCTAAATACATACATACATGCACGCATATATAGACAAAGAACAGATTGAGACAGATAGATGTGGACTGAGATAGACAGTTCCACAGACAGACAGACAGACAGAGATAGATAGATAGATAGATAGATAGACTGACACAGAAATATAAACAAAAGTGAAAAATATCTGAACGGAATAAGTATTATCTGAACACAATTGCAACGCCTTCCTTGAATGCGCTTGTCTACTTGTAAAATCTTTGATAAATAAGTTAAAATCGGCCTACCCACCTGATTTAATAAATTTCTACAATTGCTCATTGTTGCAACTGTGCGAGGGATTTTCAAAAGGCAGTCGCAAATCTCAACCATTTTCAACATAATTTACTCTGTATCATTTCTCCCGTTCTCTCTTTCCTCAGCCGATTTCTTATTTATCCACCCACTATTAAACTTCTATTCCCCACCACTCACTTTCTCTCGACTTCTTTTGATGATGCTCTAAACGTCTATCCAATACAAAAGACGCTAACAGTGTAATCTTCTTCTATTTAATCCACTTATATTTTCTTTCAGCGTCGAATTGCAGGCTTTAAGTTAGAATATCGAAGCTAGTTGAGGTTTTCAAATACTGATGAGGCTAATAAAGCGAAAGGCACAAAATGGACACCTGGGACCGTAGCAGTTTCCTAAGCTATTATTATTATTATTGTTATTAGATCGATCCTCAATAGATCAGCCACATTTAACTACAGTTATGCTTCTAATTTGTCTGATATCGTAGAAGAAAAAAACGTTAATTCTTTGTAAAAGATTGTCTTAGAAGAAATCGTTTAGAGGCTGTATACTAGTTTGGTTTCTTGTATACTTGTTGTCGATTGCGACGTCTTGTCAGACGATTGCCACTCCGCCATTAGATCGCCCATGACTTTGCCACTCATGAACATACATAAAATTAGGTACTTGTTTTCTAAGGAAGCCCCTTTGCTAAATTTGCTTGCCAATCCTTATTACAGATAATTATTATTATTATTAGATAGATAGATAGATAGATAGATAGATAGATAGATAGATAGATAGATAGATATGAACAGACCGAGATAAATAGATAGATATTAAGAGACATAGATAGATAGATAGATAGATAGATAGATATGAACAGATCGAGATAGATAGATAGATATAAACAGATAGATAGATAGATAGATATGAACAGATCGAGATAGATAGATAGATAGATAGATGGAATAGATAGATAGATATGAACAGACAGATAAATAGATAGATATTAAGAGACATAGATAGATAGATAGATAGATAGATAGATAGATAGATATGAACAGACAGATAGATAGATAGATAGATATGAACAGATCGAGATAGATAGATAGATATAAACAGATGGATAGATAGATAGATATAGATAGATATGAACAGATCGAGATAGATAGATAGATAGATAGATGAGATATGAACAGACCGATAAATAGATAGATATTAAGAGAATAGATAGATAGATAGATAGATAGATAGATAGATAGATATGATAGATAGATGATAGATAGATAGATAGATAGATAGATAGATAGATAGATAGATAGATGTGGATTGATCGTCCAGGAACCCGTTGATGACTTTTCATTCCTGCCAGCGACTTGCATATCTTGTAGCAGATTTGGCATTGCCGTTGATTGAAATAACAGACACGGTGTTGGCTTTACTGTATACATAGATGTGATGCTTGAGACCCCACCAGCTGATCGTCATAGTCTCGAGCAGTGGAAGCATGAAACGCTTCCACCCTGGGACTAAATGCGCGGCATGGGAGGGACAAGTGTAGTTGGATTACTTTCATGTGATTTCATATGATTAACCGGGCCTGCCTTTGACAGCAGGGTCCGGTCACACACCTCACGGATCCACACATCTCCACAATTGGTCGGCAGAGTTTCTCTATTTTCTTCATGCTCTCTTGAGCTTTGCCCGGTCTGCTCTGGCTGCTTAAAAAAAGTTCAGCACCCTCGAAAATCACAGCCACGATCAGATGTATGTTTATATATATATATATATATATATATATATATATATATATATATATATATACCGAGTGTAAAAGCATAATTGCCCATCGCACAAAATGTTTAATATCTAAAAAAAAAAAAAACACGAAACTAAATGAGTTTCTGTTTTTTCCAGATTTTCATTTGCCGTAAGAATCACTTAAAAACCCTTTGAGTTATTCAGCTAGAAAGAGAACAGGTTAAAATCGTGCTGTGTCAGCCCCACTCTCTTCCCAACTGAGCAATGGTGAGAGGAAAAAGATCATTCAGGCCATAGGTAACTTTGGCTTCCATCTTCAAAGTTCATTCATGAACCATCAATAGAAAGGTGACTAAGTTTGAAAAAGAGGGAACAATAGAGAGGAAAACTGAGGTCCCAACAGGAAGAAGGATCATCATTTTTAATCTTGGAGCTAAAGAGATCAATTAGAAAAGATCCAACTCAATCCATAAAACGTTTGGCACATGAAAGAGGTGTTTCACCTATGACAGTCCAAAGAGCAGTGAAAAAACACTTGAAAATGAAACCGTGCGTGAATTTTCTGAGGCACTTTGTTACTCCAGGACAGAAAAAGTTAGAGAGGGCGAAGATCATCTTGAATAAATTGAAAAATGATCTTGGAATATATATATATATATATATATATATATATATATATATGAACTTTATTTCAATCCTTCATGATCTCCCGATCCCTAGCTATGCCTAATTAATAATAAACATGTCATTTTCGTTTATGATCGATTTCATCACGATTCTTCTATTAAACTTGGAGAGTAATTATACATTCCTATTGCTCAAAATAGAGTTCAATAGTGTTATAAAAATCTGGAAGAATTCCAGTAAGATATCTTTAATCAGCTTTAAGTTACAATAGTTCAGAGCTTAATCTAACAAATGGGCAATTTTGCTTTTACACGATTTGGACAATTTTGCTGTTACATCCATTATATATATATATATATATATATATATATATATATATATATATATATATATGAATAAAAAGAGACAAGAAGAAAAACTATTCGTAGCCGACGCATTTCATCCTTTGAGGAACTTTATCAAGGCAATGTAGGATCTATTTTGTTGCACGTGTTTATATACAAAAGCGAGGATGACATATATTCTCTACGTGGGGTACTTGTATATGGGAGGAGTGACACTAAGGCTAGGGAAGGCGTCCCCAACAATCCCCACCAAAATCGAATCCTCTGTCAAAACGCGGCGTAGGAAAGACAACCTCGAGGTGTGTAGATGACTCACCAAGGGTGGTAATTCCGGCCCCGCATGAGATATAAGTTGGACACAGGCTTCTTTACGGACCTTCTGCTTGCGTTCACCCCCATAAGAGGGTGGAAAGCAAGTGCTCGACCGCTATCCTATGGTCCTTGCAAAGAGGAAGTACAACCATCCGGTAAAGGATGAGAGGAAAGATGTATGTGGTACACGCCTCAGCTCTACCCATAAAAGACAACCTCCTTCGGAGCCAAGTCCGGACCGACGCTCCGACCTTTGCCTGTACTTCTGATCGATTTTTCTCCAGCTGGAGGTCGGGTCCAAACCACACTCTAAGAATGTGAAGAGGATCACCCGTTCAACTAAAGAGCTCCAGAAGAGAGACCCCTTTCCAGACTTGTTACGGTTAATCTTGGCCGCTGTGACATTTTCGTACCGTTCAACCGCCTTCTGTACCCCGTCAATATCCCTGCGGCACGACACAAAAATGGATAGTTCCTCGGCGTACGTGAAAACCCTGGTTCGATCCCCACCAGGGACAGCTATTCCACGTAGGGCCAGACTGCTCGCCCCGTCCCTCAGCCTGTGAAGGAGAGGCTCCAACGCCAAAGCGTAGAGTAGGAGCTGACGAACCGACCGAGAAAGCGCAAAAGCGCGCGACCGCTTTCCGTCCATCTGTACCACAGCACTGGGGGACCGATACAGGAGTTAATCCACTTGCAGAAGTTGGGTTTGAATCTGGCGCACTGCGGGACAACAGCCAGATACCGATGATCGACCCTATAAAATGCCTTGGACTGATCCAAATTGATCAGCGCGGCTTGCTCGTCGTGTTTTACACCCTCTAGGATCGTGCGGATCAGATACAAGTTGCACTGAATTGTTTGACCCTTCACAGGGTCCCAACAGACTCTCGGCAACCGACTGCAAACGTTCCGTCAGGGTCAAGGTCAAAATCTTTAACTCTATATTTATTAGAGTTATGGGCCTGTAATCGACAGTCAAAATCGTAGGGTAAACCACTGCCGACCCTCTTCAATGCCAAGTAGACCTCGCCCTCCGTGATCTTACCCTCACAGTTACCCGCTTCAGTCGGCGAAAGCCGATGAAAGTCAGCCAAGTAGCTGCGAAACATATCGTCACTGAGACTAGTCTCCTTGGTAAACAGGCTCTCAAAATATCGCCGAAACGACACGCACGTGTCGTCAGTTGACCTCAGAGTACGCAACTCCGGGGTTTTGACCTCACAAATCTAACGATCAGTACCTCAACGGATCTCTTCCTTGCGCAATTGTGAGCTCATGTTCACGGCTTCGTTAGACAGCTTGTTTAACCAATGTCTAACTACCGGACATTGCTACCTCTCGCTAGCTGCGAGCTCCAGAGCCTGCCTTGCTAAACCTATCTTTAGGGAGTCTCCCTCGCAACATCCGCCCGAGATAGACTATCTTTAAGTGTCTTCACCTTTTTAGCCTTATCTGGTGCGAGCCGCTGGTTATATTCGGTGGTGAAGGAACTAATCCCATCCTTAAGCCTCTCCCACCACTATTAATAATAACTGCCCCTAGTTCTGGTTGCACTAGTCTAATTAGCTGTTGCTGGAAATCCCACCTGTCCAGTACAGATTGAACTTCCAGTGTCCAGTCATTCTAGGCCTAGCATCTAACGCTAACCGGGCACAGACGAGTCTATGGTCCGAATAGTCTAACCAGTGGAACCTGGTACAATCTAGCAAGTCTATATCGGCCCTCTCACTAACTTTATATCCGGGTAGCTGGCTATCTGGGTAGACGGCCACTTACGAATCCACGTCCACATCTCCCGCCCAGGGTGATCGACCCCGGTATCAATCGACGAGACCAAACTCTCCGATCAGATCAAGCTGACTACGATCACCCAATGACCTCTCGCTAGCTCCCTGCCCACTGTCTATCTTGAGATCCAGGATGGCATTCCAGTCCTCCACTAAGACTAAGTGCGAAGAATCAACCAGGAACGGGCCCCAGCTTCCGGAAAAACGACCCCCCATGATTGTTGGGCGCATAAACCGCAACGATCCGAAACGAAAGACTGTTCACGGCAATATCAGCCACGATCAACGGCCCTACTCTGCATCAACACGAACAAAGTCTACTCTAGCATCCATGCTACGTTCACCAGCAAGTAAACACCTATAGCCGGCTAGTCGACGTATGCTGAATAGGCAACATAGTCGCTAGACAGCACACGAGCATCAACCTCGCAAACAAAGCGGGTTTCCTGGATCGCAGCCAAAGGACAGGAGATCACGAAGCAGGCAGTGTGGGGTGCCTTAGTCCGATCCCTCAAGCCCCTCGCATACAAACTAGCTATCTTGAGAAAGATTATTCAAGTTGATTCCCCTAGTCACAGATTGAACGGAAATCTGCAGATGAAAGGACCCCGACGGATTGTCCCAGGCTCCCTGCCTCCAGCTCTGTCGTCATGCGACGATCGAGGGATAGGTCAGTTTTAAGGATGGAAGATTACTGGGACCCTCTCCGCACTATATTTTTGTAGTTTTTTTTAGGTCCGGTGTTCCCATTTCTACCATACGAATCTCCGGAAAGGCATCTTTTACCTGTTGTGGGGTGGTTTCACAGTGGAGGCTTGTATTTGTACTAAGTCGTTCCTAAAATAGGTTCAACGTACAAAATGTTAGGAACTTGATATAATAGGTATAACGCAGAGTAATCTAGTTGTGGTCGCTGATACTTTCGTATTCAACTAACTGTCGTCCGACATCGACTGACTGACTGACCAACCCTCTTACTACTCTTACTTATTATAGGTGGGAGAGTCTATTAACTATAGAATAGGTGTGTTCCACCATAACATTACCACGTATAGATGATCCCACACTCTAAGATATCTGCTTGTGTTCCTAATTCAAGTTATTACCCCAGCAGCCTTGGGGGAATTTCGGGAGTTTTCTATATAGCACCCGTCTACTGACGTTGTTTTGAATAAGGGTTTTAACAGCGCTCTCTTTTTTTTGTTGAAATGTCTCTTTTTGTTGCCCACCTGTCTACTTGTCATGTTCTTACCCCTCCCCCCGCCTATGGAATTTCTTTTTATGGGAAGAACTCTGGTGGAAGGTGCTGCGCGTTGGAGAGTCGCTGGGCGTTGTGCTGGTGAAAAGGGGGCTGTTGGGAGGAGTAGAAATATCGTCGGCTGCAGTGGTATTGGGAGGGGGTGGGAGGAGGAATGTTGGGAAGTGGGGCAGTGATGTTTTCAGAGGGGAAGAAGAGAGGCTCCTTGAGGTATTAGGTTGGTGCAAAAATAATGACGTAATGATGTCGTTTTTTTAACGTATTTTTAAGGTAAAAAAACGACATTATTACGTCATTATTTTTGCACCAACCTAATAACTTCCTCTTGTTTCTTGACTGGCGAAGCCGAGACGGATTGA